GTCATGCACTACAGGACTTCTAAGAATTAGAAGCATCAGTATGTTTTCTTCCTGGGTTCCACACTGCTTAATTCCACTGTAATGAAAACAGTTTTTAAAGAGCGGGCACTGAGTAGAAAATCCTACATGTTCTGGAACATTCTCTCTTTGTCTTCTCCAGTCCTTGGCTCTTAGCTCCAAGGATAGTTTATAATCATTTGATGAATCAGCCATCCACAAGGGGTGGACAGCTCGTCTTTGGCAGACTGCTGCAGCCTTGACACCGCTTAAGGAAACCGCTTCCGCGGGCTGATGAGGCTTTCCGCCGCACGGGCCACATTCAGGGCCGAGAGCCAAGGACTCTGAAGCCCCGTCTGCAAGAGTCTTGGTCTCTGGTGTGAAACAAAGTGCTTTTAGGATGAAGAGTGATTTACAGACCACACTTTAGGTGAGGTGGTGTTTCTGGTATGTGGTATGTTTATCAAAGGACAGCATGCCAAATGTCAACCCTTGTTAAAGAAAGCTGTAGAGGCAAACCTTCGAGGCTTTATACTGGAATATTTTCTTTTGTATCAACTGTTGTGATTTTTTTTTCCTTTTTGCATTTGGAACAGCTATTTGGTGAGAGATGACAAAAATTTTTGACATTGAGTAAGAGACCGCAATGATTATTTTGACTTTATGTCCTTTGACCGAGTTTATTTCTCCCAACTAGTCTTTTTGTGGACGGTGTATATACTTTTAAGTTTAACTGACCTATTGAACAGGCACATTGTTCCTCGCATGGTGTGATTCATGGGCTTTTCCAGTCAAAATTGACTATTTTCTAAGGTAGTTCTCTGCCATCCCCGTCCCATCTCCACAGAGTTTTTCCAGTAAGAGCTGCTTTTCTTCATAACTCACACACAATTTGTTGTTGTTTAGTCGTTTAGTCGTGTCCCACTCTTTTTCGATCCCATGGACTATAGCCCACCAAGTTCCTCTGTCCATGCAATTTCCCAGGCAAGAAAACTAGAGTGGGTGACCATTCCCTTCTCCAGGGATCAAACCCCAATCTCCTGCATTGGCAGGCGGATTCTTTACTGCTGAGCCACTGGGGAAACCCCATACACAGCTTATCATGACACATTTAACTCTTATATTGGAACTGAAAATGAGTTGTTGTATTTTCTGTGTGTGTATTTTCACTGTATTTTCTCAATCAGGACTTAAGAATAGATATTTGTAGAAATGCTACTTTGACAATGAGGTGATTCCTGTGGTGAGATGTTTTGTGAACTGAGAAATCAGGTTTCCCTCTAAAAAAATAAACTATTAGGAATTGGTCCCCATGTCACCTGAAGAAGTCATCTCGCAGTAATAACACCCCACCTTCAGAGGTCTCCTTGGACAGGGAGGTGTGGACGTTTGAGAAGGTGAAGGGCCAGGAGCTCATCCTCACGGCAGCAGTGCTTGTTGTGAGCACAGGACACATGTGGCCACCCCGCTCCTTCCTCTCGCTCAGCTGAGCTGCGTGAGGCTGGGGTCTCGCCTTCCCACACCTCAGCTAGCGTTGGAGTCAGCTAAGAGTCAGCTGCCTGGGTTCACATCCCAGCACCAGTTTCTCCAGTTTTTCTTATTTTCCCCTTACCACTGAAATAGTAGTCTCTTAGAGGAGTCGTGAGGGTGAAGTGTAAGATACATGGTCCACTGTCAGTTTTCATCGTATTCCTGGGGTGCATGTTAAGAGCTTATCTAGTACGTTGATATTCAAAGGAGAGTCTCCTTGAACCTGCACAGCAAGTATCACAGACACATGCAAGGCCCCTGCTGGGGCAGCTCCCAGCCCAGGAAACACCCTCCTTGTGTTCTGACCCGTGTCCTCGAGTGAAGAAACAGTGGGATCTGTGGCGATGGGGGGCTGTGCCCTGTTGACCTCAGAGCGGATACTGCCTCAGAGTCCAGGAAGGATTTGAGCCACAAATGATCCAAAGAGAAAAGACACATGAACATGTCAAGACCTTCTTATCAGCATGAATGCAGTAGGTTTTGCCATAAGGAAATATCGTTTCCCAGTCGAGCCAAGTTTCCATTTGTTCTCTTGTCTCAGGATTTCAGGTCAGTGTTCTGGAGGTTCTCATGACTTGACTTTGTTCAATATAAGCAATAGTTATACTTGGAGACTGACTAGCATTTGTAATGTTAAATCAGATTACTCAAGCATATGTCTGTGTCCATAACACTTTCTTTGACCATTTCTCAAGAAAGTGTGTACAGATGTCTTGTTTGAGCAATTACTTGATATTTAGCTTCTCCGGTATTACTTCTTTTAAAATCTCATTTTCTTGTGTTCATTATTTAACTTCTATTGTTTCTTGTAGTTGCCTTGAATATCTCACTACCCTTTGTCTATACTGACACAGTTAACATTCAGTTGAGTTATGTGAGTAAAAAGGAACACAGACCCAGATAAAACTCAAAACTAATTTGTTTGACTTTGGACTTTAAGACGATTTTGCACCAGATTTGCGTCCCCACTTGGGTTTTATTTAAGCTGCTATTATGATCAGTTTACATTCCGTAAGCGTGTACCAGCTGGCTAATGGAATGAACAGGCAGGCCTGAGAAAGCCACCCTCAAATGGAAATTGGCCATGGATGATACACACATGGATCATCGAAAATTGACTGCAGTTTGTTGCTGTGCCCAGAAAACTGTCTGCTTAATGACCTGGCTTCCTTGGACTTCTTGTCTCCATTGCACTGTCTGTTCTAATTTGTTTTTTACAGAGAAACCTTTAGGATGTGTAAAGGATCTAAGTATAAAAATTATGGCACTTAAATTTGTGTCTGAAATTTCATTGTTCAAGTCCTTCTGGTACTTAGTTCTTCTCTATTCTCCTGACTGTTAGCTTTTCCTGTATTTTAATTGCAGTTGTGCTTCACAATCTCATTAAAAACTATTTTGTTTCATGATGCCGATGCTTCATCATCTTTGATCATTTAAGTATCCGGCCTCTGTGATAATGTGCGGTAGGAACTGACTGTTATTTCCTCACCCAGGAATTTATTAGTCAGGAGTTCCAGGGAAAACAGCAGAGGCTACAGGAGTGAGGAAAAACACTTGACTTTTTTTTTCCTCCTTGATTTTGAAGGTGATGTTATTTCAAGGACAAAACACAGGACAGCTAGAAGCTGTCATTTTCCTGTTTGGAAGGAAAGCCCTGCAGCAGGAGCGTGTGAGGAGTCAGGGGTGGGGGCGACGGAAGGTCCGCATTCCCAGGACCAAGTCTGAGCCCCCCGGGCCCCTCCTCCCCATCTCCAGCTCTGAATGAGTGTGAAGCAGTGACAGCTCTGCCAGATCCCTTGTCTTCTTTTCCACTTATTTTATGCCTTTTAATGGTAAAGAGAAAAGGGCTTCTCCAGGTCTTGCCATGCCAGTGTTTGTGGAGGAGACAGGAAGTACAAGAAAAAGATGCAGGCAGGCAGCCTTAAACACGCTGGTCGTTTTCTGTTCCTTCTCCTGCTCTCCGTGTCCCCACTACCTCCTTCCTTGTCTGAAAACTGGTATTGATAACTACATAGTCATGTTCAGATAGGGCACTACTTTGTAAACTGTAGAGCTCGTAGCAACATGAGTTGTTCCATGTTGCAATTACTGGGTCCACCGCAGTCACAGGCAGCCTGCTGGGCCTGTATTGCAGCCCACCTGTCACCATCTCCCACCACTCGTGAGCTGGTCCATGCCAGGCAGTCCTTCTCATACCCATACCTTCTTTTCTCTTGGACTGTTATCATAAATCAGAAGGTATCCTTAATTGTGACAGATCAAGTTAACAATAGCACTGGAGACAGTTTTAAGAGAAATGACAACTACAGAAGAATCACATCCAACCGCATCCTCTTGAAAGTGCCTGCATAGGCCTTCAGGATTTGGGCAAGGGTCCTGACTAAGTATTGTCTCCTGCAGATGGACGGCATTTCAACTGTATGATCACACAAACTGGCTTTCATAGGCGTGTACAGAAAGCCAGGCAGACATTTTAACAGTTTTTATGGGAGAATGCATCCTGGTTCATTTGTTCATGACTGGGGACCTGCTCAAGCAAGTTCTCTCCCTGAAGATTTTCAGTGTTTCTGCTGTCAGGAGGGAGGACATGTGTGGATCCAAGGATGATTGACTTCCTAATTGTTTTTGTTTGTTGGTTTTTTGAAAACTACCTCTCTAATTGACGGAAAGGTAGGCGGGTATTTGGAGTATTTTTACCCTTTGATTATTATTTTTTGCTTACATCTATAAGGGTGAAGTAGGGATCTCTATTTTGGAGCCAGACAGGATAAATTTTTCCTGAAATGCCCTATGAGGCAAATCCCACAGATCACATCAGTAGGATATATTATTATTTTAAGGAGATGGAAGAAGGTTGTGTGGTGACCAGCTGCACTTAATATTCCTGACACCGGGGGGCTGGGCTGTGACCCCTGATCTGAGTCCAGGGGTGAGAAGTGGGCAAGTTGGTCAGTGTTTCTGTTTTATCAACCCATCAGTGGGCCCTCCCACGATGGACCAGAAAGCATCCAGCTGCTGAGTTAGCTGAAATGACATTTTCTGAAGATCTCACTATTAATAGGAGTGTATTAAAACATATGTAAGTTATATTAATATAAAAATAGCCAGATATATCTGCTGAGGACTAAGAGGGTGGTGAAACAGTTTGAAAGAATACTATTAGAAACCTGGAGGTAAATACAGAGAAACAGATAAAAAGGAGTTGAAGTTGAATTTTTTGGTGGGTAGGGAAGGGTGATGCCTTTAATTTTTTCTTCATTGTTTTTCCTCTTTATGGAAACAATTTCTTTTTAATTTTTATGTATTTAAAACTATCAACCATTTAAGAGCATTTTAAAAATTTGTCCCCCAATTTTGAAATTTTATGCCTCAAAAGCTGTTCCTTTCCCAGGGTCACATACATGGAATATATAGATTTTCAGAATATAGTGGGGTGACTACCTCTCAAATTTCTTCCTTTTTTTCCCCACCAGGAAAGCGATAGAAGAGCTGCTGAAAGAGGCAAAACGTGGGAAAACAAGAGCAGAAACAATGGGACCAATGGGCTGGTAAGTACTTGAGTCATCTTCCTAAAAATTTAAAGATATGTAAATACACATTAAAGAGAAAAGTTTGCGTTAGCATGCAGAGGGCATGTAGAACCATGGGCGTAGAGGAGAGCACCCAGAGACAGGTGGTGGAGGAAGAACACTGCTGAGGGCTGCGGCCGTGGAACAGTGGTCAGAGGGGTGTGGACCGAGAACGCCTGTCATGGTGTCAACACCCTCTGGTCCACAAGTCCCCAAGAGATAGGTCGACCCTGCTGTGCCTGAGGCCACCAGAGTGCGAGTAATGTTACGTCAGTGTTCGTTGTTTAAGAATTTCTGACTTAACTATAGTCCTCAATAAATTAAAATTTACTTGTAAAAATTCTAATTTTAAGTATTTTGGTTTTGTTACAATTCAGCTGCGTAGAACAAAAGTTTAACCTTTGCAGTTTTTTTTTTTTTTTTTACTAAATAGAGCTTGTTAAAACTTAATATAAACAAAGGAAGAATTTAACCTTAAGAACCACATCTGTTCTTCTAAGTGTTACTTTAGCAATAGCATTTGCATCCAATAAATATGCTGACTTAGATCTTTTATCTACAACTTAAAATTCTCTCTAATGGAGTACTTTGGGCTGTTAAACAGTGTAAAATGTAAGAATGGGATGGGAGTACAAGCTAGGTCCCTATGGATTTAACTCTTAAAAGAACAGGGCCTACATCAAATGCAAACCAAGGTTAAATTCAAAGAAACAGAGGGAAAAGGCAATTCCTAAATATCAAGCAACATAAAATAAATGGACCTAAATGTGCCATATAGTAGACAGCTTAGCCACACACAAAGGAACTATTTCAGGTGATCTGTGAAACTTGACTCTATTTCCAAAAGACAGAAAAGAACTAGAAGGAAACTTTAAATTGTTTCTCCAGTCATCACATCATTAGTAATAATGTTGATACTGTTATTCTGAAAATATTATATAGTAGGAAAAGCAAGTAAGTTACTGTTTATTTGTTATAGACACTAAGGTTTTTAGTATACAAGCTACAAATATAAAATTAAAGACATAAAAATCCATAACCCTATATTTTAATTGGTAATACCATTGTGAAGTTGTGCCAGATTTTCACTTTAGAAGAGAGAGAAAGGGCTTACCTGTTGGCCCAGTGGTGAAGAATCCCACCTGCCAACGCAGAGGACACGGATTCGATCCCAGGTCCAGCCCACGTGCCATGGGGTAGCTAAGCTGGTGCACTGTAGCTCTGAGCCCACTCTGTAGAGCCCAGGAGCCACAACTCCTGAAGCCCGTCACCCTGGAACCCAAGTTCCACAACAGGAGAAGCCACGGCAGTGAGAACCACTGCAACTCAAGAGTAGCCCCGTTTCGCCACAACTGGAGAAAGCCCACACGTGGCAACAAACACCCAGCACAGCCATAAATAAGTTACTTTAAAAAGAGAGAGAGGGATAAGCTTTTGTAGCTCTGTCCACAGAAAAGCCCTAGAAACAATGACCTTCCACTCAGTAGCAGTGAGTAGCCCCAGCACCTGGAGGTGGCATGTAAGACCACAGTGCCGTATATAAGGCCGTCTCTCACTGACACGAGCCAGAGGTCCTTAGGGAAATAAGTAGCTGCAGATCCGAGGCTGTGCCTGGAGTCAGCCGAGCTGCACGCTCGCTGTCACAGCCTCCTCACAGCCTCCAGCACCGCCCGCACTTCCTGCGCCAACTGCACATTCAGGGAGTTCCCAGAGCAACCCTCAGCCTCAGTAATCTGCTAGAAAAACTCATGTAATTCACAGAAAGCTATTATACTTACGGTTACAGTTTATTACAGGGAAAGGATACAGATTAAAATCTGCCAAAGTAAGAAATGCAATGGGCATGGTCTGGGGAGGTTCCAGACACAGAGTTGCTATTGCCTGCCCCCCGTGGAGTCAGGACAGTTACCACAACCCCCCGACCAGCATCAACCTGTGACAATGTACTTGGCATACTGCCAACCAGGGAAGCGACCCTGAGCCTCAGCTGTCCAAAGCTTTTACTGGAGTTCCTCTCTGTAGGATGACTGATGATTGCTCACATGACTGATCTCAGTCTCTGGCCCACCAGTGCCCCACTAACCCGGATCCCCACCCTGAATCATGTGGACTGTCTCTCTGGCATGGGCAGTCCTCTCAGTCAGGTGTGGCCAGCTCTACCCCAAGCAGAGACAATTCTATCAAGTATGTCATTGCCTCCCAGAATTGATATTACCTCCCAGAAGCCAGGGCAAAGTCCAGACCACTCTGTGAACAAGATCGCTGTTTACTGTGCAGTCAGGACACATATAAAGCTGAGCCAGAAAACCCTATCATATCAGAAAGTAAAACTCTCAAAGACTACAGTAGTCACATCAGAAAGACTGGGAACCAACTTGAAAGGCCTCCCGCTAATTGAATCATCAAAAAAATAAAGCTATATTGGCTGAGATACCTAAAACATGTCACAATCCATAAGGTCATAACAATAATCACATCAGGAAACTCAGTGGTCCCTTTTGGATGATGCCAAGGAACCAAATCATTGTTTGTAAAACTGGTAAGCAATGGGAAAGAATCAAGTATTTATCCTGTTGCTTGTACAAATTATACATCAAAGTTATATAACAACTGATGAAAGAAAACTTCTTTATAGAATTGCAACTGTTAAATGTAAGACTATAGAATAAGATTATCATCATTTGTATTCTTAACAACTCCATCATAAGACAATCTAATTTAAGAATAGACAAAAGATTTGAATAAACACTTCACCAAAAATGATATCAAATTGACCAATAAGCATATGAAAAGATGTTCAAATCAGTTACTAGGAAAATGCAAATTAAAACCAAGGTTTTTTACTACAAATGCACTAGACTGACTAAAATTTAAAAAGACAGACAGCAACAGGTAAAGAGGAGGATCTGGAACAACCAGAATGCTCACACATTGTTGGCAGAAATGTAGTCAAACAGCCACTTGGAAAACAGTTGGCAGTTTCTTACAATACACACTCACAGAATTATTCTTCTAACTGCTGGCCAGAGGACTGACAGTGTAAGCCCACACACAAATCTGTCCAGTAATGTCCACGGCAGTTTTACTAATGATAGCTCAAAACTGGAAATAGCCCAAATGCTAGCTCAAAACTGGAAATAGCCCAAATGCGCATCAGCTGATGTGTGGACACACCCTGATGATGCCCATACGTTCCATACTAGTCAGTAACACAAAGGAGCAGAGCTACTGATACACACTGCATGGATGAGTCTCAGATGCACTGCGGTCATGAAAGAAACCAGACTCAGTACCTGACACTGTGTAAGATTCCATTCATATGACCCAGAGAAAAGCCAGAAAAAGCTAGACCCGGAGGGACAGAATACCACTCATCGCTTGCCAAGAGGTGGGGGCCGAAGGACTGCATTTACTGCCCACCTTTTTGGGTGATGGAAGTGTTCTGCATCTTGGTTGTTGTGATCATAACATGACTACACACATTCGTCAAGGCTCATCACGCTATTTACTTAAAAGGTAAATGTGATTCTGTGTAAGCAGACAGTAAATATGTCTGCTTATACAGAAGACATATGTATAAATTTATGATTTAAAATTTTGATTTTTTTAATCTGATTTAAAAATAAAAAGAATGTCATTATTCTACAGTCACCAATGATAGACTGAATCTAGGCAACACTCTGTCTATGACTTGCTAAACCTATCAGATGAGAAGCTGATGGGGAACCTTCTGATGAGTGGGTCAGGCTGATGACACTGGACTCATCCATCGATCCTTATACCACAGAAAGGTGCAATAGGAAGAGGATACCACCATTTATGAGACATACTTGTAAAGAACCTGAATCTGATTAAGTCTCTAGTGAGAGCTACTAGTTGGCAGGAAGTAGAGGTCAGAGGAACATACTCAATGACTATAGAGATAAAAGGACAGAAATGAAAAATATGGGGAATTCTACAGGACAAACAAACCAATTTCTTTAACAAATGAATTCCACAGCCAAAAGGGAGGAGGAGTACCCCATGAATTAATAGATCTGAGACAGCTCTAAGTGTAACTTTGTCTGCATTCTTACCCAGACTCATTGAAACAAAGGTATATAATGATACAAGGAATTAATGTTGGCTTCTGTTTAGCTGTGATAATAGTACTGCTATTATTTTTTTAAGCTGTTATCTTTCAGAAATTCATTCTTATGTTTTTATGGATGCAGTGATATAATGAAATGCAAAGATCCAGTATGGATCAATCTGTATATATGTAATCATTTTAGCAGATACCCAAAAGGAGCAACTGGTCAACTACTGGTGGGTAGTGGTCTGCTTTTCTAAGCATCTAGAAGGTTTTTACATTTGCTCTAAAATTTAAAATAGAACTAGAGCGAGTGACACTCTTTTTTTCCCTCTTGGATATTCCGTAAGAGAGATCTCAAGTGAGGCAGTTAAGCCGTTGCCAGAGAGATTGCTGAACTAGAGAAAATGCAAGTGGGATGAACTTTTTTTATATCATAAAGAAAGAAACCATTTGGTGCTATGTACTCCCTTGGACATGTTTCAGCAAAAAGAATCTCGAGAAGCTGTTCTTGACAGACGCCTTAGAGAAGCTGAAGTATTGGCCCATGTGACTTCCTTTCAGTCAACATAATGGAATTTATAAGCACAAATTTCAGAAATTTGCGGCAGCTTCACGGTCTACAAAGCTGTATTTATTCGGTCACATTCACTTTGGCTGATCTTAGCCCAGTATAATAATCGAGTCCAGTGCCTGGGTAACTTCCATCTTAGACATAGAGAGGCTTATACTTTGGTACAAAAAGTCCCAAAGGTTGGATTTGACAGAAAACGATTCTCCAGTTTTCATAACGCAGTTGTTTTAAGGGGAATGACATTTTGGGTGCTTTTCTATTTGGCTTGGGGTCAATCTGGTAACATGGGTGAGCACTCCTACATTTTCTGATACTTTACATCAGCTGCGAATCATTTCCCCGGCCTTCAGCCAGTCGCGCAGTGTCTTTATTCATTTAAACATCCTAGGGATTGGCACTGCCCCTCCTTGTCCCGGGCCCAGTGGTTGTTATGTTAGCGCACAGGACGCTGGGCATCCTGCCCCTGCCTCCCGCGTTCACCCCTCTTCCTGCCCAGTTCGGAAAGTGGGTGGGGAGCCCCGAAGGAGCAACTGTCGGTTCACACAGTGGTGGAGACGACCTGTGCGGCTGAGGGAGCAGGGGCCCAGGGGCTGTGCCCAGTCGTACGTTCCAGGGGCCCCACTCCTCACACCCGTGCTCTGACCCTCTCCTTGGCCCACCTCTGTCCCGCCTGGCCATCACCTCAAACACAGGCAGCCCGGGATGTATTTCTGCTACAGGACCTAGCATAATGCCTTACACATGAAGGAGCCTCAGATTTTTAGAAATAAATACTGTAGGTACAGATGTACATATGTGTCGGCTATTCTTCATTACTTTTAGGTGTAGTGTTTGAGGCAGAGTGTATTGAAAACCTACCTCAGGTCTGAAAAGCTGTCAGCACACTGGTCACCAGGGCTGCTCCCTTCGGGACAGATGCACAGAAGCAGATGGTACGTGGCGTCGGGTGGGTTCGGGGCGCCGGCCCTGCGGGAGCCCAGGTAAGTCAGACACAGACAAGGACAGGGGCACAGAACACCCTGGACACACGTGACTTGGAGACCTACGAAGTGCATCAGGCCATGGTAGATGATGGTGTGTCTTCCTCTGTTTAGGGAAGCAGAGCCTCGGGGTCAGGGAAGCGGGCTCCATGTATTATACCCTGATCCATTCCTTTGTTTTGCTGCCAAAGCCCTTCCCATACAACATTTTATCTTCCATTCTACACGCTCCTTTGCACACTCTCGGCTGTACGTCTGAGGTAACAGCCACAGAAAGGAGCCCAGCTACAGTCCCCACAGCCCAAGGAGCCTGGTGATCCTGGATCTTGAGACTGCGGTTGGTGACAACTCAGCTCGTCTAAGGCGCCACAGTCACCATAACTACCGACAGTGCCACAGGAGCTAATCTGGCAATCAAATGCCTCAGCTGCCTGAGAAGTTCTTGTGGAGCGTTAGAATCCCTATAGCTACACTGCTGACCCTTAATTACTCTGCAAGCATACAACGAAAAGTGCAGAATGGAAGGTAAAATGCTGTGTGCCTGCATGGGAAGGCCTTTGGCAGCAAAACGAAGGAATGGGTCAGGGTACAACGCATGGAGCCCCCTCCCTGACCCCAAGGCTCTGCTTCCCTAAACAGGAAGAACCACCATCATCCCCCACGGCCTGACGCATTCATAGATCTCCAAGTCACATGTGTCCAGGGCGTTCTGTGCCCCTGTCCTTGTCTGTGTCAGATTCACCTGGGCTCCTGCACGGCCGGCGTCCCGAGCCCACCCGACACCTCGTACTATATGCTTCTGTGCATCTGTCCCGAAGGGAGGACGGACTCTGGAGTCAGAGTCCTGGTTCCCGTCCCAGCTCCACGCCCTCCCAGCTCGGGACCCATAAGCACGTGGCCTCCTGTGCATCTGTCAGAGGGGCGATGGTGGGACAGATGGAAGGAGGCGACGCTGGTGCCAGGAACTGGCCGTCAGCATGGTCACCACCCTCCTGGTTCTCACTGGTGAGTGGTCACATACCACTATTCCATGGGTCACATTCATGAAAGTGTTTTAGAAACTGATGTGGCAGCTCTGCATCTGCAGAGTGTTAGATATTACTACCTCTGTCCAAAGTATTAAAATCAGAAAGGGAAAAAAAAAACACTACATTTATGTTCCTCCTGCTGTTCTCTGTGCTTGTTTGAAACAAGCCGGTCGTGAAAAACAAAACAAAACAATTGTGAAAAACAGTTGACTGTTTCTCATGAGTGGAGTCTGATAACTGCCAGGAGAAAGTGCCCCATTTTTGTGAAGGACGTTACACAGCACGTCTGCTTGGGAAATGGGGAGAGAAGGCTGAAGAGCTGACACTCCTGGCCTCGGTCCATCTCAGTCTCTGCCAGGGCAGGCGAGACCCCTTCTCTCAGGCTCTGCGTCAACAGCTTTGAAAGCAGAAGGAAGTTGCTTCACTTTTTGGTTTAACGTGGATAGAATGCCAGGTCTTGAGTCTGATGGTGCTGTCATGGGTACTTTCTAAAGCAGTTTTAACGCATCTCATTCTGTTTATAGAATTTCATATCCATTTATGTTGTTAGCACCTTAAATTTGGCTCTCCCCACATGAGCTAGTATAAATTTCTAAAACCAAAAATAAGAGTAACCAGCCAGGGTAAGAAGGTTGACATTGTGTGGGTCAGAGCTCCCCAGGAAAGCAGCTGCACACCCCGCAGCCCCCACCCTTCGTCCCCGACACAGCCAGTGACAGAGCCGCTGCAGACGTGCCCAGCAGCCAGGCCTGCTCCCCAGGGCTCAGGCTTTCCCCACAATGCTGATGTGGAACAGGCTTCAGGATCTAACACTAGCTTATCGTGTCATCTCAAATACAGAAAAAAGTGGCACTAAAAGAGAGCTGAGAGACAAGAAGTCAGAGAGCCATGAAATAATTTCCTAATGTGGTGAAGGAGAAAAGGATCATTTTCCAAAGGGTCAACAAACGTAGAGAACATGAGACACTCCAAACAGGAAGGGCTCTTTGAGATCACACATTACTCCAGCCTCTGGTGTTATTGTATCTGAGGAGCGCCTACAGACAGAGTTTACGGGTCATTAGGAAATGCAGATAATAAGCTCAGAGGTAATGGCCACTAGCCCACTGGCTCTGACATCAGTGGAGAATTGAGGTGTCCTGGAGAGTGAAGCTTGCAGATATAGAAACTTAACTATTTTCAGCACCAAAACTTTAAAACTGTAACCATTTTTATGAACATTTCTGTAAAATATCTTATTTTTTTCTTGATGGCGCAGGGTTTTTTTTTAATAATTTTTTTTCATTAAGAGACATCAGATATTCTGCTGTGTTCTTGATTAACTTACTATCTCAGGTGATTTGAGACTTAGTGATCTTGAGTTTCCATCCTGGACAAATCCTGAATATATGAACTTGAGTGCCATATATATTCTCTTTCATGAAAGGAGAATGAACAGTAATAACATTACATTATTACTATAATGAATAGTAATAAGAAGGGTCCACAGTCCCTTGTTTAAAGCCCTCAGATCCAGAAAAGTTTCTTAGAAAGATACATAGCACAGACAGTGTGCACGACAGGTACCCCCACAGTATGTGTTCAACACACAGTCATCTCCCCAACAAAGCATATGAATGTTACCCCAGAGGGGACGCAGACTAGAAATAAGTGCCCAGCGTCAGATTAGGTCAGGTCTGACTGCCAAACAAGTTGTGTCCAAAAAAGGAACTTGGTTTTCAAATTTTGGAATCATGCATAAGAAATCATAGATCTACAGGTACCATTTATCAGGAATTTGCTCTATGCCAGGCCCTATGCTAAGTGCTTCGTGGGTTATCTCATTCAACTCCTGCAGTAGATGGATAATTCTGTTAACAAATAGAAAACTGAAGCACAGAGGCATCAGGTAACTCTCAGGATCCCAAAGCCAGTGAAGCCGAAGGGCTAGGGTATGTACCAGAGCAAACCTCTGCTGAGTGCCTGTTACCTACCAGGCGTTGTGTGCGCACATCCAGCCTCCATCAACCTGCCCTCTAACTCAGTCACTATGATGGTCCCCGTTTAACAGAGGATGGGCAACAGGAGATGATCTGACATGCCCAAGGTCCAGTCTGGTAGACAGTGTGACCCCAGAGAATGTGTGTGCACGGCGTTGTGTAAGTTCGTTGAAGAACAACTGGCGATGAGAGTCAGCAAAATTAATTACCACGTTACAGACCAGAGCTCAAGGCCAAGGAGAGATTCAAGTTTTCACTGTGTGCAGTTTTCATTTGTGTAGCCAAATGAAAGATTGGCTATACCTGAAAAACAAATACTGCGTATGTAAATATGTATCAACATGTAAATTAACAATCTGATCAGTGACATCCTTCCTCCTGGGTCCAATATTCAGGGTATGGCAGGAGATACTTTTTTGTTCCTCAGGGGGTACTTACCCTTATTCTTTGATATTTAAAAGCAGGCCACCATAAACATAAATCTGCATTTTGAGTTAATGCCTAGTCAAGTCAGGCATTTATGGTAAAGGAGATAAATGACTCAGGTATTAAAAAAAGGAATTAAATGGCTCAGGTGATGTGTGTTGTGGTCCACACCTGTACACACATTGTTACTCCTTGGCTTAATTAGTCCCAGCCAGGAAGACAGGGTCAAGGTCTTCAGACAGGGTCCAGCCAGTCCGTCTTGGAATTCTCAGTGTCCTGGGTTTTCCCCCTTGTACTCGCAGTTTACACTAGGTGGCATGCAAGGAAAGCTGAACAAATTCAGAAACTTGACTCCAGGGAAGCAAGATTCTTTGGCACAGGCCCTGATGGGAGGGTTCGGCTCCGGAGTCCACATTTGATTTGTGGTTGTTCTCTCTTTGCCCCCAGGATGAAGTGTCCTCTTGCCGGGACAAATAAAAGATTTCTAATTAACACAATTAAGAACACACTGCCCTCCCACAAAGAGCAAGACCACGAACAAAAAGAGGGCAGCAAGGAACCGGCGAAAAGCCAGAGCCAGAAGGAGGAAGGGCGCCAGAAGCACCGGTCTCACCCGTACAAGCACAGCGTCCACGCCCGGCGCTCACCGCCCGGGAAGCGGGGGAAGCGGGGTAGCCATGAGAAGTCGCAGACACGGTCCAGCAAGCGGTGAGGTGGGGGCCCGGGGCCCAGCGAGACCCTCCCAGTGCCCAGGCCTGGGGTGGTGCGGAGACACCAGGACGGGTTTACAGCAGGGCCTCCGTCCTGATGGCGGACAGTCACCCGAGGCTCCACGAAGGAGCACAGCGACATCCCGGCAGGTTTAAGCGGCTTCGGCAGTGTAATATACATTCGTCTGGGTTTTCTTCTGTCTTGTTTGGAAGTTGGTTTCAAAATAAATCTAGAACTTACAAGTTTTCAGAGATTATTAAAATTAGTTCCAGTTTTTGTTTTTGTTTTTTGATGTGCTGCACTTGTGGTCTTTTCTCAGAATTTCTAAAAACAGAAAGATACTTGTCAATCCTATACTTTTGGGGGGTGATGATTTTAGAAACCTGGCCAGTGATCATATTTATGAAAAGCTGTAGCCCTTATTTAGCCAGAAATTCTTGAGAGCTCTGTACCAGTTGACCTTTAAATGAACAACGTAGGAAAATCTCAAAATCCTCTTGAATTTAGCACCGCCCCCCATCAATAACCAGGGGTTAAAAAACTGTCTCTCTTCTTTCCTTGTGCATTCTCAAACTCATTCCTGAGATAGAACAATTTTTCTGTATTTCATTTTGGGGGGAATATGTACGTTTTAAGTGGTGCTTTTAAAAGAACCTTCAAAAGTTAAAATTACTATTATTTTCATGCTATGTCTTATTTAGCTAAAGACCTATGATGCCATTCTTAGGTGTTGTACAGTTGTTTCAGAAATCTGAATTTTAAATAAAAGTGTGTTTACAATGCCTTTTTACTGTTTTTTCAATATCAGTGTGGCTCTGTTTTTAACATACAATTATCATTACTCACACCTGTATTCTTCCTTTCATACTCAGAAAAATGTCACCAAGCATGATTTTCCCCCATCCACGAAAGGAAGAAGAATCTCTGTCTACACCACCCCCCACCTCCCAAAGCATCTGAGCTTATGCCTGGCTGCTCCCAGATAATCACTTGACGCAGTCCCACTCCCTGCTTCCCAGCAGCAGAGAAAAACCTTTTCTAAGTGCTAGAAAGGAGAGCGTTAGCAAAGTCAGCTTCGGGGTGTTGAACGGGACCCACTCTGCCCCCGCCGCCGAGCTGCCTGCCACACCTGTTCAGCCTGCTCTGAGCCCAAAGCTTGGGACTCAGACCCAAAGCTTCTGCACAGCCCTGTTCCCCTAGAACCCGCCTCACCCCCATGACTTTGTACAAACACCCTTTCCTTTCAAACACTGAAAAGGGACCATTTGGTTCATATGACTTTATCCAAGTCCAGTTACACATTAGCCCATATCATTTGTGCTAAATTTGAAATGTTTTGTATTTAAACATCTATTAGGGACAGCACAGAGTTGTGGTTTTTAAACACTTCTAATTAAGTAAAAGTTGAACTCTATCATTTGTCTATGTGCCCTGAATTTAGATCTCACTGGCAAGTTCATTATTCTGAAAAAGGGGGTTATCACAATCAGCATGTTCTTCCCCTCGACAGTAAAGGAAGCGCTTTAGCCTCATCACTTACCTTTCTCAGACAACTATGTTAAAGGACAAGCACTCCTCAAAACCATTTTCCCCTTAAAAACCTCCACCCCACTTCTGAAATTTTTATTAGAGTCTTTAAAACTTTCATCAGGGCTTCCCAGGTGGCTCAGTGGGTGAAGAATCCGCCTACAGTGCAGGAGACGCAGGTTTGATCCCTGGGTTGGGAAGATCCTCTGGAGAAGGGCGTGGCAACCCACTCTGGTGTTCTTGCCTGGAGAATCCTGTGGGATTAGGAGCCTGGAGGGCCACAGCCCATGGGGTCGAAAAAGTGTCGGACACAACTGAGTGACTAACACTTTTACTTTTCACTTTCCTCTGAAAAACCCATATTCCTATGCTCTGACCTCTGATAGGCAAAATAGATCTCAGAGCTGAGAGGTTGTTCCTGGGTTATAATCCTGAATTTGGCTTGAATAAAATTTGTCATTTCTTTTTTAGATTGATTTTTAAAAATTTTTTTAAATTTATTTTTAATTGGAGGATACTGCTTTACAATACTGTGTTAGCTTCTGCCATACAACAACATTAATTGGCCATAAGTATATACGTATGTCCCCTCCCTCTTGAACCTTCCTGTCACCCCCTACACAGTCCCAGATTGTTGACAATAGGCATACAATCCAATTCAACCACAATTTTAAAACCTAGCAAGTTTTAACAAGTTTCCTCTAAAATTTAGATGGGACTGCAAAGGACCTAGAGTAACCAAAACCATTTTGAAAAAAAAACGCTGGAGGACTTGCTCTCTCTCACTTCAAAGCTTATTATAAATTTACCGTAATTTGGAGAATGTGGCCTTGGCATCAAGATGGACAAACAGATCACTGGAACAATCATAGAGTCCAGAAACTGACTGTACGTGTATGTTACAATGACTTTTGACAAAAGTGAAAAAGCAAGTTGGGGGGTGGACTTCCAGGATCACAGGATGAGGACTTCTGCAGAGGGGCTCCCAGTAAAAACTATCTAAGAAACAATTATTGAGTCTCCAGAAATGATCCTAAGGGCACTGCAACACACACATATTTTTTTATAAGTCAACAAAGATATAGTAACAGTGATAGTCTGTTTTTTTAATCACACCCACTCCCTTCCCCCTTCGGGCTCAGTGGCACAGAAACCCCACTCCAGACTTAGGCGGCCCCGAACACAAATCTCGCTCTGCCCCCAGCATGTAGGCTGTTCTCCCAGAGGGCAGGATGCCAGCATTTCTCATCGTGTTGCCAGACACCCATTGCTGAGACTTAAGTTCTGAGCAAGAGTGACCAGGCCAGGAGGTGAGGCTGCCTCCTCCCATCTGGTTCCCACTGGGACACAGGCTCTACCTCGGTCACAAAGCCACTGGGAGCTCTGAGTCCCCGATCACCCTCACCCCGGCTCATGAGACAGTGGTTCCACGTCCAGAAGCCCTGAAGCCGCTGCATCCACCTCCGCCTCCTGCTCCGTTCCTAAGGTGGGGTATAACTCAGACAGAAGCACATCACTGTCCATGTACCACTTCCCAGTTCCAGAGCCCTGGCTCAGAGATTTTTCTAGAGGAGGAAGCAGGCTATAAACAGCTCCTAGCCTCTTCCCAAAGAAACTGACTTTGTTTGCCAAAGAACATGGACAAGTTCGCGCATAATGTATTCAAAAACAGTGAAGATTGTGGTGAGAAATAAGAGGATATTGGTAGATTTGTTGAAGACAGAGGCTAAACTGAAGACTGTTAGTTTACAGTAGAGAACTTGGGGTGGGAGCAGGGTGCTGGGAGTAGCTCTCCTAGAATAATAACAAATATCGAACACTGATCTCAGGAACTATTCCTTCAAAGAAGCTAGAACTTGATTGGTTTAGTCTCTGGAACAACGGATGCCCTAGAGCATTGTTGAAAACAATAGAGCAATTATCCTACAAGTTGTGAAGCTTAACAGCTAGGTGTGATCAGGGGGAAAGATAGCCAAAAAGAAGCCCTGTCAATGCACTGTCATCCAGGACAGCTGGGCACACTCAAGGCTGTGCACCGTTGGTTGAGAAGCAACATCAAAGGTTTAACACTCATGTGTTTGTGTAAAATAGACTTCACTGAAATAAAAGTCACTAAACAAGCAATCAAGTAAATGGAAGTGGGGGGACCAGAACCCAGAATTTCTATCCTAAACTATCTAAAATGTCCAATTTCCAACAAAATGTATGAGACATACAAAGAAACACAAAAACATGACTTACACCCTGGGGTGGGGCGGGAGGTGGGGTGAAGCCAGCAATACAAATTGCCTGTGAGAGTGACAGATATTGGATTTAACAGTTAATGGAGACTTCAAGTAGTTATAAATATAGTATGTTCAAATAACTAGTAGAAGCCATGGTTTACAAAATAAAGGAAGATATGCTGACAATGTTACATCAAATAGCTAGTATCAATAAAGAGATATAAACTTTTAAAGAACCAGATAAAAATTCTGGACTTAAAAAGTACAATTGAAATGAAAAATTAACTAAAGAAGCCCAACTTGTTGCAGAACAATTTACAAACCTGAAGTTGACAGAGACTTTGCAAGCCAAAGAACAAAGGGAAAAAAAAGAATGAAGAAAAATGAACAGAGCCTCAGGAAATGTGGAATGCCATTAAGTGCATCAAGATATATGTAAGAGCAATATCAGAAAAGGAGAAAGAAAAAATATGTGAAGATATAATGGTTGAAATCATTCCTAATTTATTGAAAACACTAATCTACACATTCAGGAAGCTCCACAAATTCCACAAAGAAATCCACAAATAGATATGTGATGGTTTGAAGAAAAAAAAAAAAAAAGGCTGAAAGGCAAATACAAGGTGAAAATCTTGAAAGTGGCAAGAGAAAAAAGACTTGCCATTTGTAAGAAATTCAATAAAGATTAGCAATTTACTTCTCATTGGCAACAGTGGAGGGCAAAAAGCAGTGGGATAACATAATCCAAATACAAAGAAAAAAAACTGTCAATCAAGAATCTAATATACCAAAGCTATCTTTAAAAAAAAAAAAAGACAAAACAAAGACATTACCCAATAAACAAAAACTTAGGATGGTAGGAGGATATAAATTTTGGCCAGAATAAAATTTTTCAAGTAACTGAAAAAAAAAAACTGAGAGAGTTTGTTTTTGGCACACACACCTTAATTTTTTCACCAAAAGCAGTGACCCCAGAGGGTAATTTGAATTCACATAAACAAGAGCACTGGTAATGTCATATAAACCAAGTAGAGAGTGCTTCACCTATTTTGACTAAAAAGTCTCAGTAAAAATGAAGGTAGTGCATCTCAAATGGAAAAGTTAAGAAACTAATACATGACACATGAAAAAAATATGCTATTTTTATAAATCCAATGTTAAAACTTGAGGGCTGGGGAGAGGTTATTTCAGATAACTGAGAATTAGATGCATATTTTGTAATAGAGTGAATGCTTTCCTATTCTGAGAATTATGTTTTTAAATGGTTTGATAAAATAAGACAACTAAGAGTATGCAAGAGAGACCATGTGTGACCTGGAGTCTAAAACATTTATATAGCTCTTTACAGAAACCATTTGCCAACCTCCATTTAAACATTTTAACTTAAAATATGTATATATACATTTATTCACTGATACATATATAAGGGGGCTTCTCAGGTGGGTCAGTGGTAAAGCATCTGCCTTCAGTACAGGAGACATGGGTTTGGTTTGTAGATTGGGAAGATTCCCTGGAGAAGGAAATGGCAACCCACTTCAGTATTCTTGCCTGGGAAATCCCATGGACAGAGAGCCTGGCGGGCTACAGACCATGGGGTCACAAAAGAGACACGACTTTATGTAATTATAAAATATAGTAAAAGCATATCTTTATTCTCCTTTCTTCTCAAATTATTTGAAAAGCAATTGTATAAAACAATATGTATTTTTGATCCTGTAACATATAGAAGTGTAGTAATTTTGCCAATAACAACATAGAGGAGGTGAGTGAGCACAAAGCTAGACTGACCCAAAACAACTCCATAAGAGTCGTTCTTGAATTCATAAGAATGAATCAAGAGAATCTGAAATGATCAATGGGAAGGTTGATATAACAAAAGCTATCAATATACTTATAGTCGGCACCAGTGCCACTTGCTCAGTTCTGAGCACCAGACCAGGCAAACTTGGCCCCAAGAGCCGTGAAATGATGCGGCATCAGGGGAGGCCTGAGAATGGGCATCTGTAGCCACTTGAAAGCAAAGCGGACCAGC